GTAAAAGATTTTCAAATTAAATCAATACAACAACGGCAGATAGAATAATCAAAGAACCAAAAATGCCATATCCAAGTAAAGGAGAAGAACAAGTGGAACAAAAGAAAATAGACGATAAAATCATAAACACAAGGCTAAAAATAACATTAGTTGTAATAGTAAATAAAGAAAATAAATATGTAAATAAATACAGGGTTAAAGAGAATAAAATGAACAATAAAATAAATACAATGACTAGCGCTTCACCCATTACTATCTGCTCTTTTCTGTTTTAATTCCATTTTGTCTATTTTTAAATAGTTAACACTAATTTGTTGTTGTTTTCCTTGTTTTGTGTGTTTTGTGTGTGTGTGTTTTTTTTTTAATATGGATAACTGATAAGTAATCATAATTATGTGACATTTTTTGTGCACTTTACCAGTCTGTATGTGTTTTCTATCTCTATCTCCCTCTATGTCTATAGCTCACAATGTCATATTGTCATGTTACTTTAAATGTAGGTTGACTTTTTTGCCATTGATGTATTAGCACTTTCAAAATAAAAGAATCAGTGACAGGTTAAAGATGAAAAGGTTGCATGAACGACGTTTATCTGAAACTATATTTTTACAGATTTTAAAATCTTGGACTTGCCTAAAACTGAGCATATGCCTTGTTTATTGTCTGCTTTTTTTTCTCAGGAGAGGAGACAAGCTGATGCAGATAAACGGCACCGACCTGCAGGATCTCACACCTGACGAGTTGGCACAAATGTTAGCGGAGGGAAACCCAATGCTGGTGAGATTAACAGGGAACTTAAAAACTTAAATACTTTAAACTTAATACATTGAACATCTCTAAGGTGGAAATGGTGTTTCAGACTATTCTGATTGATATTTTTAGCCTTAGAGGACACAAAAACCCACAAAAAATAGTTTAAAATAACATTTCACATGTGTAGGCTGAAGGATTCTTTCACTTAAAGATTATAATAAGAACAATAGTAATAATCTTGGCTACTTGTAAATCGTTAGATTTTAGCTGTGTCTGAGTCAGATGAGATATGAGAACATATTTTGTGATGTTATTGTTTCATTTCTGTCTTGTGAAAGAAGGTTAAAAAATGTAATGCAGCCAGATTGTTTCTTTGTGGCATTAGAAGGTGTTCCAGGAAAATAATGTCAGTGTACAAAAAAGATGTC